GCTTAAATTCCTTGAGGGAAAAACTTGAGAAAATAATATTTTATTTCGACTTATAATTTACTTTAAATGATTTATTTGCTTAAAATAAAATGAAATGCAATTTAAATAAAAAAAACGTTCCATAAAAGAGAATGAACAACTTAATTTATAGTTTGCGAGACAAAAAAAGCACCACTTTCGCCATAAACGAGGCGCCCCTTTGGCCGCAGCCAGCATGGGAGGAATACAATTATTCTGGAAATTACTGTTTACAGGGCGCATGCATTGCCATAAATTGCCCAATTTCACCCGACATTAAGTGCACGAGTTGGCAGCGTGGGCAAAGCAAAAACGTCAGTATAATCCAGCGTCGAGAGCACCAACCGCAAAGGCACTCTCAATTAAACCGCAAAATAACGCAAATCCGCAGCCGCACCAAACGCACGCTTGCTTTTAAATTCTCCACCTTGATATTTCAGCCACGCTCCATATTTCATGAATGACCAACCGAGAGTGGTACGGAATTATCTCTGCAACGGATGCAAGACGAGGCCACCTGCGTTGACACCAAAAGGGTTATTCCAAATCCCTTACATTGCCAAACTACATTGGGATAAAGTGGATCAAAATATTTATTTTCCAAACTATAAAATTTCATTAGAACTCAAATTATATCATTATTTATAGCAATTCAGCAAGAACTTAATTAAATATTTAGAAAAACTCATAATTCTATTATTGGGCTGTAGTCTCAAATCTTTTTTCGTACTGGTTATCCAATTTTAATCTGTTTTTCTTTCAGTTTTTCTTATTTAAATTGAAATTAAAAAAAAAAATTATTTTAATGGAATCTTGAATTTTGTTTGTTTGAATTTTTGAAATATTTCTTTGATTGTAACTTTACATCATAAATTAAGGCAATAATTTCAACCTCCGAACTTAATTATTGATTTTTTGCAATTACAACTTTCAATGAAAATAAAGTTTTGAATCGCCCCAGGAAGCTTTTTATAAACCAGATTGCGAAATGCGAGTGGAATTTATTTGCTATGGCGGCATTGAAATTTATTATATGCAAAAGAACGCGCTATCAAAATAATATACGCCGCGATAATGATGAGCGGTCGGTTGCCTAGGCTTTCGCTGGCGGGCGTGATTTACACGTGTAAGTCGAGCGAATTTTTTTTAATTACGCGGCAGCCATTAGCATGCGGCGGCCGGCACAACAAGATTCGCATGCCGATGTTTGCGCTGCCAGTTAATTAACGGCGACCGCGCGATGTTGCGACTTATCCCACACACAGGCCTGCGGCGTCGCATCGATTGCACGCGGAGGTCGTTATTAAAATAGTTCCATCCCTATTAGGAAGAGACGTGACAGGCAAAATCCGATAGGGTTGATTGCGATCCGTGGCAAGATGATCCAATTATTTGGCCAGGGAATGAACGTTAAAATTTTGATATATGTAAATAATGCGAATTGTTAAGTATATCAAAAATTAGGGAAGTGTTTATTACTTTCTTTTTTTATAAAAAACACAATTTTAATTTGGTTTAGTAGAAACTGGGAATTTTATGAATCCGAGACTTGGATAATATATGATGTTTTTGAATTAAATTCAGTTATTGGAATTTTTCGCCGCAAATTCCGTTAGAATTAATGATCAGAGCTAGGTTTTGCCCTGAAAATTAATTTCGGCATATTCAATTTATTTCAAAACCCGAAATTTTCAGCCTAATTCAAAATACAAATTTAAAAAAAAGAACACCAAAAATGATTTTCTAGAATTTTGGAATCAACTTTATACTAAGAAAATTACAACAGATCTATTTTAATTTTTTTTTTTTTTTATTATAGAAAACTCAAAATATACAAATTTTAGTCACGAGAATGATAAAAATAAAAATAAAATTTTGGATTCGAAAATAAAATCTGTAATTGGTGTACGCAAAATTAATTTTTCTAACAATAAAACAAATAAAAAGAATAAAACATCGACATTGGAAAAATTAAGAGCTGTTATTTTAGAAAATTTTAAGTTCAAATAATTTTTTTTCTTATTGTTAGGTTAGGACGCTATCGACTCCATAGTTCAGCATTTATCGTGTGCAGAACGCCTTCAGTGTAATAAAAAAAGTGCATTTTTCTTTCATCTAAACAGGAATTTACCTGCAGAGAAGAATAAATTTATTGAATTATTGAATTTTATTTCAGGTATTTTTGTATCCAAAAATTCGTGCGCGTCTTTTTTTGCTGCTGCTGAATTCTCATTAATAATTTAAATTCGCAATAAAGTTTGACCGATTCCCAACGCAAACTAATTTCAAACCCCCAGAGACCTGCATATAAATTGAACAAGTTCAAATCAACAAATTCGCATTATTCCCGCAGGCGCCGCATTTCGCAATTCGGACCGAGCAAATCAACCAACGCGTCGGTCGAAACCAAAACACGCGAGAGAGATATCTGTTGTATAATTAATTTCAGTCTGTTCTCAAGAAGCGGCTGCGTAATTACGCCGATTACAATCGCGGCCTGGCATTTAATTATTGCGCACCGAGTGTAGAGAAACATTCGCACGCGTCCACAAAGCTGTGCGGCCGGTCGATATAGTGTTTGTCCGCCCGAATACATTGTTGCTTCATCTCGTTAAAAACTTTTGCCGTTGCTTCAATTACAAAGCCTGGTTAGACAATTTCTCCTCCTAGTTCAATTTGCTCGAGTTCGCGAGGAATATAAATATTTGGATAATGAAAAAAATTACAATTTACTCCGTGGAGGAGGAAAACCTTGGAACAAAATAATAATTGTGGGCGCTTTTTAAATAAAATGAAGAAGTTTGCTATTCTTGTTCTTCCGTAAGCATTGTTTCTGTTATTCTGTTAGTGTGAGAAATTTTCTCACAACAGGAGGCCACAATGCCTTGGTACTGAATGAGATCTGAATTTCGCAGATATGACGGAAAGAAGAAAAAAATTTGTACTCACCATGTATGGTCAGTTCTGAGTCTTTGTTAAGCTCGTACAATCTTATTGCTTCGTTTAACTCTACTTGCGTTGATATGGTGCATGGATCACCTGAAATCATAGACAATTAATAAAAAATCTTTTCACTTTTTACAATTATTATTAATATTATGGTGAAGAACAAAATTGTCATTGCCGCAGTGACTAAGCATATGGCAGGTTTCTGCACTGCAAAGGTTTCTCCGGGAATGCAAGACATTTAGTAAAGAACAGAGGGATCTCCCAAAATTTTTTAAATTGTCTTTTAGCTTAAACAAATGTAACTCTAAATCATATTGGAAATGTATTTGTCGTATTTGTATATGATTGATAAATAAGGCGGCAAGCAAAAGATTAATTTCAATTGTAACAAGAATACTCAACAATTGTTCCTAATTAAAAGAATTTTTAAATATTTAATAAAAATAATATAGAATAACGAAGGGATATTTCAAAAAGAAAGTAAAAATAAAATTATAAAAAAAATGCATTTCGTGATTTGAAAAAAAAAATGAAATATTAAAATATTGGTAAAATTTATCACAAGTTATCAATTTTTAAGAAGAATTGAATATGCAATGAACTTTTTGTATTCCTTATGTAAATAAAAATTCAATTTTGAATATATTAAGAGAATGGAAATTTCTGTAATAGATCCGGCCAGCATTTCTTATGACTTTTGATAAATATAATTTTAATTATTATTTTAGCACAAGTGAGGGAGAAAATTAATTGTCACTTTACCTTCTTCGTCCACCCATTTCATGGTGAACACTTGGTCCGAACTAAAGCGACAAATTTCTCTCATTTCCGAACACAGCTGCTCGTAAGTCACACTGGGGTCGACATAGGTTATCATAACCTCCCTGAAAATAAAACGAACCGTTAGAATTTGTGGATTTAAATTTCCTGCAATAATGTAAGAAAAGGGGCTGTTTATAAAACCATCCGGTGTGGCCCATATGAAGCGGATTGTGGCCGGTTTGGCGGTTTGTTTACAAGCGTCCGCCAGTGGTCCACTTACCCATTGTAGGCCGTCTTGACCCGGACGTCGTGCGCGTCCGAGTCTGGTGCGTTCGCCGGCATGTTGGTCTCGGTCAGGAAAGCATCAGCCGATCTGTGAATCAAGGTGGCTCGTCAGTATAATGTGCTCTTAAATTGTTTTCTTATCAACAGACAACGGTCTGCTCAAAAAGGAAGGTGTGACGCATGCATCGTTTTATGTACGAGAGCCGAGCAAGACGCTTGATGACTAATGACTCAGTTATTCTGCTTTTTACGCCGGTATCACACCTTTTATGACCGAAAGCGCTTCGGACACTTCGGCCGACAAATATTTCGGAAGCGCCGAAACGCGGCTCACCTGTAATTAATGCGATAATTAGGTGTAAACAACAAAAAATCGCCGTAAACACCCACACCCGTCACAGGTGATCAACTGAGGTCCGTTGTTCTCCGTAGTTCGCGCGGCCGCCGCCACCTTCGTGGACCGGCACCTGTGGCAGCACTGCGCCGTCTAGCATGCAGCGTTGCCCAAACTTGTAGTTCCGTCACTTGCTACGGAGTGGCGAAAAATACATATAAAAATTTGATTTGCAGCACAGCATGGCCTGGCATGGCCCTACAGGCAAAACGTGATACGAGTCGATAATTTTCTATGCCATAAATAGCATTTTTCTTAATGGTGCAAAAAAATTATCACACTTCACTGATATTTAACAGTTTTAATACCTTCTAGAAAAAATGTTTATAAAAAAAATGCGTTAAAATTAAATTATAATTAGCAGTTATTATGGAATAATGTATCGAGAAACAAGAACAAAGAATAAAAAAAAAAGTGTAATTTCTCTTTATCCAAAGATAAAACAAAAATCACAATCACACCTTATCAGTTGTGAACGTGGAATTGTGCATTAATTATTATTAAAATCTTCCATCAAAAACTTAACAATGTAAAACTGGTAAAACCTACATATATTTTATATAAATTTAATTTTGAATAAATTCAAGATTAGTTTTCTTTTAATAATTATGGTTTAATTGATACTGAACATATTTTAACTTAATTTTTTACACTCTAAAAAATAGCACTGATTAATAACAGATTGTTTCAGTCACTGTCACCATCCTCATCTTCCATCATCAAATGGTCCAATTTCAACTTTTTGCTCTTGCCATCGGCCTGACTCTTCCTATCTCCTCGTCTAGAGCTCTGTCCACTCCTCTGCCCAACAATATATTCGGGCATGACCCTCTTGCTGCCCCTGAAAATAGGCCCTTCCGGCTTGCCCTCGGGGCTGGCCTCTCGAGCCTCTTTGGCAGCACCTTGTTTTCTGGCCGGTCTCTTGAACTGCACTTGCTGAGTAGGTTCATCAGTTTCCATCTCATCTTCCTCCTTCTGCTCCCTCCTTTTCCTCAACTCGTTCAAAAAAGACAGGGCCGTACTAGTGTTTGTCCGGTCGGACATGTCCTCGCTGCTGACGTCGCCCAGGCTGTACCGAGTCCACTTGTGAGGGTTCTTCTGGTGGTCTGCAATGCGCTGCCCACCGTGCCAGCGAGGTGGCGGCGGATCCGGTCTCTTGAAGAGACTTTCTTGTCCTCGAAGGTGTCTCGTCTCGTGGCTGCGCCTTCGGTGGCTGCGCTCGGGGAAGTCATCGACGGACACAGAAGTTGAGGTTCGTACAGAGGGGGACAGAGAGTTGAGTTGGTCGAAGACGCTCCTGTTCCTCGAGTTGAACTCGTCGTCACCTCCGGCGATTTTAAACTCCCTGGGCATCTCGGAAGATGAAGAAGTGCGACGACCTGAGAACATGTAAATTGTTATTATCATAGAATTCTCAACTTTCAAGTAACAATATTTGGAAAAAAATTGATTTCAACCTGAGCTTGGAATTATTGGCATTATAAAGCCTCTCACGTCTAGTGCGTTAACTTTGTAAACTATGATCAATTATTTATTTTGATTGCAGAAGCAGAGAAGCTGCGACACCAAACACCAAAATAATAAGTCAGCTGGTGTTCTGTTGGTAGACCTGATGCCGCACAAGAAAAATGTCAACAAACTGAACAAACGGGATGATTTCTCTTCTAAAAGATAACTGGATATTTTATTAACAATTGCTACTGAAGTGTGACATAGAAATTAATCTCTCAAAGCTTTCTCGTCGGATTTTTAGGAGGTGATTATTTAAATTTAAAAAAAAAATAAATACATAAAGCACCTTTTATATAACATTGCAGAATGAATCAATATTAACTCCCCTGAATTCTGCATTGATCTCCAAATGTAAAATTAATAAATGTGCTATTTTTAATAGAAAATCATGGAAACGAAAACTAATAAGTACACTTTGGAAATTGAGGACGACGACGAATACGATCTGAGTGATGTGGACGAGCTTTTCAAAGTTCAGGACGTGGTTGGATGGTACAACAAGGACCTGCACGGTAATTACTGTGTGGACGAAAAGCATGCCAAATATGTGTACCTGCCGGCCAACATGAGCAGGGTCAACTTTGACCTTAAACGACTGCACAATGATGACATCTGGAAGCCACAGGTTGAGATGAAAGAGTCCATTGACTCGATTTTGCGGTGGGTCACCGAGAATTGCAAAGACGAAGAAGGAAAACCCAAACGGTATAATTTAACCAAAATTAAATGTGGAAAATTAATTAGTCCAATTGTGCAGACCAGAGGCAGATTTTGTTTGCTACCGAGGACTGCTGTACAGAGTAATGTGTGTGCCCTACGAAAATAAGGAGAGTCTCAAGATTTGCGCCATCAGGACCAAGGGCACCACTTACTTGTGCCAGTTTTTCACCGAGCAGAACCGCACGGACAAATTGGCACAAGCAGAAAATGCAGATCTTGCAAAGTTTACAAAGTGGGGACACGTTTTTGAGCATTACATGGTTTCAGGTAAATGCTGAAAATTTTCAGAAAATATTGTAAATTAAATTTTTTATTTCAACAGACGAGCCCGGAAAACAGCCAGACCCTAGCCAACCTATGTCTGAGTACGAGGAGCTTAATTGTGTATACCGATCGCAACTTGGGCCGCACAGTCTTGTCTACGGAGCTGAAATTGACGGCTTATCTAAAAAAGACGATCTACAAAACCTTTTTAATGCCAGGTTGATGGAACTCAAGACCTGCCGCGAAAATCCAAATCCGTATTCTTTTTCTAAGTACGGAATATTTAAATTACTGTAATAATTGATAATTATCTATTAAAAAAATTCTAGGTACAAATTGATCAAATGGTGGGCGCAGAGTATTTTGGCCAAAATCGACTCTGTAGTGGTTGGCTACAGAAATGACGAAGGCTGCGTAAGAAGTTTGGAGGCAATGAAAGTCAAGGATATTCCGAAAAAAGCAAAAGTATTATTTCCACCCAATTTTTAATCTATCAACTTTAATATTTATATTTTAGGGATGGAGTGCGCCAAAAAGTATGGTTTTCCTAAAAGACTTTTTGAATTTTGTGAAGCATGTCATGAGAGATGCAACGGAAACAGACATCTTCGAGTTTGTCTGGTATCCGGGAGACATGAACTACTCCGGACAAAAGCTGCCTTCTGGGAATGAGTGCAACTTTTTTCCTGTCTGGTTTCAAGAGTGGCTAGCATCATTGCCAAATTAGATTTATTTTATTGTAAATTTTAATATATTTTATTATTTTATTTTCAATATTTATTTTATCTATCTTTGTAATAAGATTAAAAATTACTTATTGTCTAATTCGCAGCTGTTCACTTGAAACTTTGCAACTTGTTTTCATTTCAATTTTTTCGTTTAATATAATTTTGGGTTTTTTGTATCAAATATAAAAAAACCCTGCTAAATTCATTATTCTGTTGGCAAGTGTGACCAGAACAGAACCCTCACACCCCCAAATAGCCCGAATCACGCCCGTGACCAACAAGACCCGTGACTTTTAGCTTGATATAAACATACATAAAAATAATAATTCCTGAAATCTTTTCTGTAATTAACTGAGAAAATTTCTCTCGGAATGGAAACGAAGTGGATTTACACCTGATGCCAATTGGTGACAAAAATAAATACGATTTGAGTGTTGTGGATGAGCTGTTGAAAGTAAAAGACGTGGTTGGATGGTACACTAGGAATTGGGATGGTGATTTCTGCGTGGATGAAAAGTATGTGAAATATGTGCACCTGCCGCCAGACATGGATGATGTCAACTTTGACCTGAACCGTACGCACCCCAAAGACAAATGGAAGCCATACGATTGTACATATGAGTCAATTGACTTGATTTTGCAGTGGATCAGGGCAAACTGCAAAGACCAAGATGGAAAACCCAAAAGGTAAAATAAATATATAATGATATAAAAGTAGAAATTAAACTGCAACAATTAATTACTTTACAGACCAGAGGTGGATTTTGTTTGCAACAGAGGAGTGCTCAACAAAATAATGTGTATATGCCTTACGAAAATCTGCAAAGTCTGGGAATTCGCGCCATAAGGACCAAGGGCACCACTTACTTTTGCCAGTTTTTCACTGAGCAGAATCGCCACTTAATATCTGAACATGCACAAAATCCAGATAATATCAAATATGCAAAGTGGAGCCACGTTTTTGAACGTTATTTGGTGTCAAGTAAAAGATTTGATTACAAAATTGCAAGATAATGCAGAATGTTTTTTTTTCCAGGTGACCTTGGAAAAAAACCTGATCCAAGCCAGCCCATTTCTGATTATGAAGGGTTCCACTGTGTGTACCGGTCTCAAATTGGCGAGCACAGCCTGCTCTATGGTGCCGAAATTGACGGCTTGAGCAATGTTGATGATTTGAAAAACCTGAATAAAGCAAAGTTGGTGGAGCTCAAGGTCTGCAAAGAAAGTCTCGATTTGCAATCTTTTTCAAGGTATGCATAAGTTATAGAAATTACTTATCCGCATGGTTAACCTGAACCGTGAATAAAGTCCATCCAGTGCAACCTGGGAAATATTTCAAGATATGAAGTGGAGGCTGACCTGAATGCAAAAGGAATTTTAGATAAAAAAAAAGGTTATTACTATAAATTTAGTCCGTGTTGCGCTGGTTTAGTATTAGAACATAATACGTACAATGGACAATTTAAAGATAAGAGGCTACAACAAAATATTTCAATTGACCTATTTATGACCTTTATAGGCACAGACTTTTCAAGTGGTGGACGCAGGGTATTTTGGCCAAAATCGACTCTGTGGTGGTTGGCTACCGAAACGAAGAAGGCTTCATTCGACACTTGGAGGAATTAAAACTCGCAGATATGACAGAACGAGCAAAAGTATTTAAGTTTTTAATAATTGAATTATTGCAATCTCTCAATTTTTATAATTAAGTATGGAAGGCGCCTAAGTGTGTTGTGTTTTCGAAGGAATTTTTGGAATTTCGCGAAGTATGTCATGAAGGATGCAATGGACACTGACGTCTACGAATTTAAATGGTATCCGAAGGAAAAAAACGTATCAGGCATAAAACTGCATCCTGAAAACAATTGTAACTTTTTACCTGAGCAGTTCAAAGAGTGGCTAGCGTCTGCCTAACTGAACAACAAACTTTTACTCAAATTCGTAAAAAAAATTCTTAAATCTGCAAAGTTGTATTTATTTTACAGTTAACAAAAATAAATTAATCTTTAATTAATGTGTTATCATCATTTAATTTGATTTATTTCACAACATGAATCGATTTTATAATTTGAACTGTGCAAAGATTTTACCAATTTAACAATTTTCTCCAACAAAGCAATTAAATTTAGACTGAGATAATTTCATTTTTTTTGCATAATACTCACAATCAGTGCCTTATTTATAAACAAAATAAAATGTATATTCTTCAGTTAAATACTCAAAATTTTGTTATCTTCGGCTTATATTATTTTGTTATATATTATAAAATAGTTATAAAAATACATTATTATTAACACAATATGCATTAATTTCAGCAATGTTTTTTTTTAATATTAATGTTTTCCCTTGAAAAATTAATAAATAAATAAATATATATTGAAGGCAAGGTAAAGATAAAGACGGAATTTAAACTCTGATAAAAAAAAGCAAATTTAACTATTGAGACTTGAGACTTATTATATTATGCTCATTTTTCCCCCAACTTTCTACAACCAACGGGGAAAACAAAATTTTTAATGATAAAACAATACAAAATTTAAGTATGAGTCATTTTCTATTCATGTAACGATAATCCGCTTATTGCTAATTGCTTCAATTTGCGTCATGGCAACTCAAAAGTCTTATGTATATGTGTAATCTGAATAGGGAAGTTCCGGTATATGAGGGTAACTTTTTAACCGGTATATTTTTCACGGTTACCGGTAACTTACCGGATTTTTAAGAATAATACAGACTCAATAAAAGAAACCGATAATCAATACCGGTATATTCCTAAATACCGCGTTATACGGTTACCGGTATGTTTTGGTCGGTGGAACACTCCTAAATCTGGATGCGACTGTGTAGTTGTGTGCGACTTTTCATTGGGAAGAACCAAAATTTTCGGGGCTTGATATAGACTGTAGACCTCTATCCTCTATCTGCACACTCACAATCAGTAGTTGACTGAATGTCTGAAGCAGAAACTGTTGAGAAGCCAAAGAGCACACACGTTGGATTTGATTTCCATTTTCAACAAATTATTTAAACGTGATAAGCGGTTAATTTTAACTAAGAAGAGCACACCAGAGGAATTTCTCCATAATATAATAGTGAGTTTTTTAAGTTTTATAATATATGCTATATACAATTATCAACGTAATCTCAAAAGCAAATAAATGAGAGAGACCTGTTGCATTTAAAAATTAATTTCTTTGAGTGGGTCTAATTGAAAGGACAGCCGTGTTCTCAGCCAGAAAGGAAAATCTATCTAATTGGCCCTTGAGATTTAACGTCTGCTGCTAGTGCCATTCCCAAAAGGGATGGAAAATTAAAAAAAAAAATATATAATTATAATGAAGCTATATTCAGAGACTTAATATATATATTTTTTTTAATTGACTATCCTATATTAGTCAATTTGGATAATTATATATATTATGAAGAAAAAAGCACCAAAGGGCGCCACGCAAAAATAGCATTAGTTCTGTGTAATACAGGGGTGTATTACACAATTGTCGTTTATTGTCGTTATTGGTAAAAAAAAATTATTGTTATAATCCCTTATGGCAATTGCAACAGGCAATAAAGGCTTCGTTTTTGTTCATTCTGATACTTAATCTCTTGGTGAACTTATCAGTGCCCGTTTCCTTTAATATACATTGCATCCTGTCAAGTGGTTTACTTGTATTAATTTAGAATTAAACTTAAATTAAATTTTAGAAATGGAGGGCTTATTTCAAGTGCGAGTGATCGACTGGTACACCAAAGACGAAAAAGGTACTTTTGGCAAGGATGAGGAGCTCGCGCGCTTCTTATACATGCCAAAAGGATCCATCAACTTTGATTTGAACCGGAGCCATCCAGAGGATCGATGGAAGGAAGCCGACCATTATACGAGGGAACAAAACTTGGACACACTTTTGGAGTGGATTGTGAAGAATTGCAATGACGCAAGAGGCCGGCCAAAAAGGTTTGCAATTTTTGAATAAAAAAAATATTCGGCTTGGTCTTAGATTAAGAAAAAATTTAAATTTTAGGAAATAATTAACTACGAAGATTTTATGCACTTTTGCAGGTTGGAAGCCGAATTCGCGTCTTTCAGGGGCATGCTGCGGAAGATCATGTGCGCCCAATATGAGAAGAATAGATCTGAGAGTTTGAAGATTTGCGCCATTAAGGCCAAAGGGACTATTTACTTGTGCCGTTTCTACACTGCAGAAAATGAGCAGAACTGCACTCAACAGAATGAAGATCATGATCAAGTCCGCTTCACCAAATATGGACGAGTTTTTGAGCACTACATGGTTTCAAGTAAGAGGCTTAAGAAGTTTATATAAGTTTAGATTATAAATTTTCAAATTTTTTAGACCGTCCTGGAGTCAAGCCAGACGTCCGCCAGCCCTTGTCTGAATTCCAAGAATTCTGCTGCGTCTACAAATCTCGATTTGGGGTAAACAGTATGATTTACTGTGCTGAAGTCAATGGCCTCGGCAAAGAAGAGGATCTGAAGCAAATTGATCGTGCAAGTCTGTATGAGCTAAAGACTTGCAAGGAGAAGCCCAATCCATATTCGTTGGCTCGGTAATTCTAAATTTTTAAATTTAGAAATTCGATTGTAGTTGAACTTACTGTTTTTTTTTCTATCTAAATTTTTGGAAATTAATATTTTACGCCAATAAATAATAAATATTTATGAAATTTTAATAATTATAATTTATAAAAAAAAACTTAATCAAATTATTGTGATGATAGACTATTAAGAAATGATTGCAATTAAATAAGTAACTGGTTGCATAAAATAATATATTTTACAAATCGACTCTTATTATGTTTATAGATACAAGAAGATCACATGGTGGGCTCAGAGCGTCCTGGCTAAAATTGATTCCGTCGTTGTTGGATACAGAAATGATAGCGGATTTGTAAGGGAGGTGGAAGTGTTGCCAGTACATGACATTCCACGACAAGCCAAAGTAATATTAAAACTTCCCAGGTTTTAGGAAATGATGTTTTATATGAAAATTCTTAGGGTTGGGATGCAAACAGCTGCATGCTTTTCCTTCAAGATTTCCTGCGCCAGGTCAAGGACGAGATGATGAATGCGCGCAAGGAGGAGGTTTTTGAGTTCACCTGGTACCCTGGACAAACTCATTTCTCAGCGAGAAAACTACCACGCAACAATGATTGCTATTTCATCCCAGAGTGGTACCTACAGTGGCTGAAAAACATGCCGTAGGATTTGATTTCCTTGATAAACCAAATTGTTCAAAGTCAGCCTGAATTATGTCTTTAGACAAATTATGTCAAAGAAGGATAACAACAAATGAACAAATATTTTAACTAGCCATCCCTTATAGTTCAAACTGTTCAAAGCAATGGAATTTTATGGCTTTAAAATTAGATGCCGAGGATTTTATTGTGGAACAACTAAAAAATAATAAAAAATATTGTCAATTCTTTACAGTAGAAAAAATGATAATAATGTAATATGTAAAAAAGGGTTGAACTTAAACAGTTTAAAAAACATAAGCCAATGAGTCTACAGATTTGGATGGATTTGAAAAAATGGAACAAATAATGAATTGAAAAAAAAAAATTTCATGTCTAGCTTTAAAATTATATTACTGACATTTATTTGATAAAACTCATAATTAAGGATAATGCAATTGCCAAAAAATCTTGCTTTCTAAAAGAATTTCAGGGAAATACTTTTGAGAAAGTTTTAGAAAAATACTTTTAAATAAAAAAGTAAAAATTTTATCTGTAATGAACGTTTCGTAATAAAATACATATATCTTCAATGCTTCATTTTTTAATGAAAACAATATCAAAATTATTATCCAAAGTTGAAAGGTTTTTCCAGCTTTTTTAACAATCAATCAAATTTCTAGTACTTAGCAAACGAAAATTATTAATTTATGGGTCCGCACTTTAGAATATCAAGTAAAATCTAAACACACATGGTCAGCGGAGTTTGTTTGTGTGACTCATGTGGAAATTACTTTGCGCGTGGAAATCCACTGGACTGGGCCCCGTTCCCATGACGACAGACCGCCACAACACGGGTGTGCACCCGAGTGCGTTCAGTGCTCGGAAATATGAGCAAGGACAAGGACGAACCTGCCGATGGCAATGCCTGGGTCATTGACTCGCTGATCCAGTTCCTCAGCGGCCCCGTCTGGAACAGGCCCATTGCAGCTTTTATTGAGAAACACTGCGCCAGTACGTTTAACCAATTTATATGTCAAGCTCCTAATTAATTTCTAAAATTAATTTTAGTTTTCGATCCTGATGGCGAACAGAGTGCACCGGAACACCGTCAGGTCCATTTGGAATACAGAAATTTGGTGAGCAAAATTTCAGTAATAATATAAAAATTATATAATTTCAACATTTCTCACCAGCTGAAATATTTACTTTTAAAATTTATGTGTTGGATCATTTTATATACCGGACTTAATAACGTTCGTTACATTTAATTCATAAACAATTCCGCTGTTGGATTAAAAATTTTGATATATTTGTTTGATTTTAAAGGTTGACTCTCTACTGGGAGGATTTGTAGAGGAACTTCAAATCACTCCCTCGCAATTCCAAGACGCTGTCTCAAACCAGAACTCAAACAATGTAGCTCGATTCCAGCCAGTAAAATTATTACTCCAAAAATGACATATGAAAATTAATTTGTTTTTATTATTTTCTAACAGGGCGCCCTTCTTGAGCAGATATGGGCTGCATCTGACTTTTCGGCATTTAGCCACTTGATGGGGCTCCACAACCTGGAGCTGCAACTGCAAGCCCTGAATGCCATTAGACACCAAAGTGGCGCGCCTCTTCCGATGGACTACAGCGAGGATGGAAAACTGCTGATGGCCAATGGAGAAGAAAGGCTCCTTAAGCATGTGCTCAGGTTCGAGTGTTTCGGAATTAAAAAATTATAAGATTTATAAATATAAAAATTTGCTAGGAGGTCGATGGAAGAAGCACAAATCATGGAGAGGATGAACAAAAAGTTCAACAGATTAAGTCTGGCTGAAGAACCAAGTAAGCCGGTCATTGCCGTTCCAAAACAAGGTGCAGCTAAAAACAAGGCCACAAAGGCAACAGGTACTTTCCTTTAAAAAAAAATTGTAAAAATTTATAAATTTCTGATTTTAGAAAATGATAATAAAGTAGTGGAACTTCCAAGAAAGCTGACTGAGGAGGAAATTCAGAAGAGGAAGGACTACTTGTGCAAACAGCGAGACAAGCTAATGCAGGCCAAAGGCAAGTCCAAGACATCGGCAAGCTTGGATAAAGTTCCAGACAAAGAAGACGAAGCTGCTGGTGGGAGTGCCTTGTATACGGAAAAGGAAGAATCAGAAGACGCACTGCAAATGAGGAGGGCCCTTGTCAACCGTCTCAAGGCAGAAATAATCAATAAAAAATAATCACTTGCATCTTAATTATTCATCCGATTATTCCGAATGTTATTTATACTGATTGAAATTAGCATTAATTTATCCTGCACTGGACAATGAGTGGAATTTTATGATTTGTTTTCAATATAAAAAATGTATATGGAAGAGAAAAATAAGGCTTTTACTCACCAAGTTTGATGGGTTGATTTACTCGTTCCTTGCCGATCTGCCAAAGGCTTGTCCGACAGCAGACATTTCAGTTCTCGACAAAGGTTTCAGGTCATAGCCCTTCAGAGGATCCTTGAACTCCAGTTCCTGAACCAAATTGACTTTCTCCTTAAGTTCACTCCGGATACGATTACTCTCAATATCAAGTTCTTGGAGATCTGAGGAAAAAAATACATAAAATAATTATTACATTATTTTATATTAAAGAAGTGATATCCTTAATTATTGCTAATAAAATTGGCATGCTTCGGCCTAAAGGAAATAGTGATAATAAATTTTTATTTCTTTATCAACCTTTTTTTAAAATATTCTGGACGTCCGTCTTTGGCAAATTCAGCATGACAGCCCCAGTGAGCAAAGTGACCCTTTGATCAGGGTTGTTATCAATCGCTCGGGACGCTGCTCGCATGCTCTGACGCCTCCTGTCAACATCGATGAGGGCATGTCTGTTGGCGAGGACGTCTTCAGCAGCCCTGTTCGTCGCGATCAGGTGCCGTAATTCGCTGGGAAATTCTGCAGGCCATTCGTCCGGCTTGCCTGCCATTCAGGATTAAGTCGGATGCAGTATGCACTTCTATTAATTATAACTTCATTAGTGATTATTACGTGGAATTTATTTTAAGAATTACTTACTTCACACGAACAATTTTTAGAGATGCAGTCGCAGTTCTGTAAGATGGAAAAGTTGATAGAAAATTAAAAAATATTACACACCGTCGGCAAAATCAACCAACTTCTCACTGTTTATTATTTTTGCTCAGCCTCCTCCCACTTTTAGTGTCAAAGCCAATCACACGAGCTCTGGCCTTTCTTCGCTTACGTTTGATTATAATGGCGCGAAATAGGCGTGACTCTCTTATTACACGAAATTTAGAATTTTAGCAAGCAGCCCTCCTTGAAGCAGCCATTGACAGGAGTCTTGAGCAAGTTCAAGTTGTAATTGTCACTTAGTGAATTGACCTCACATTTCTCCAGGGATCACCCATTTATTAAATAGACCGAATTTTACAATCAAATGCTTTTTTTATTTTCAGTATACTTCCATCCAAATTGTATCAGTTATTTTTAACTGAGTAAATGTATCTAAAGATTATTTATTCCTCATTTTAGCATGTTTATGTTTCATTTCTACATAAAGCTTTTGAACAGAATCAGTCTGGAAAATTATTAACTTTCCAAAGAAATTAAGAATGGGATGATATGTAATAGTTTACATAAATTTAAGTCCCACCATTTCAATCAATGCTTTTTGGTGAAACTATGTAATATAAAATAAGAGTAACACACAACCTTAGGTGAGTGATGGAAACTATGGAACTAAACATGTCTTTTTAGAAGACATTCGTTAATTAATAACGAATTCCAGCATTTTCATGGAGAAACTTTTGGATGTAAGCTCTGGTCGAATGAGACCACATTCCAATGGTGAAATTCATTCCTCTGGGGTAGTGCCTGTGACTGAAAAATGTTACATCATTGTAAACAAATCAAATTTTAAAGAATATATAATTTATATAATTTTACGTTTTGTAAACGTCCTGAATAGGCAATTCACTGGTAATTGCCTTCTCCAAATCAAGCACTTCCTCAACATAGTCTTTCTCTATAGGGAAAAAATTTATATTTTCTTTTCGGATTATAAATAAAATTGATTTACTAGTCAGAGTGCGAATCCAGTTATTCCACTCGTGAATGTGCTTCTCTGAACCAGGGTGATGGTCCAAAAATGGCAAGGTCAGTACTTTGGTCTTGGTTCCTCGCCAGTAAAGGTCTTCCAAGATCACACTCATGTTGTACTTGCTCTTCTCAAAATTGTAACCCTCCTAAAGTTTTAATTTGCATTAAAACATGTTGAGAATTCCTCGATTCAAAACCAACTTCCAAAATGTCCATGTGACCAAGCATCACAATTTTCTTGTGCCAGATGAAGTCCTTGAAGTCTCGCAAGTAGCGAATTGCTTTCTGTGTGGTTGCTCCCGAGAAACAAAATCCACAGTAAAGAGAATTTGTCTCTGAAATATGTATTCAGTTGTAAAAAAATCCCTGTATATATTAAATAAAATTCGACCTGGGAATCCCTTCCTCATGACACCCCTCAAGTTCCTAAAGGCCAAGTACATCAGGAAGTCGTCACCAACCAACTGATGGTTTCTTATCATTGGATTTTCAGTCCTTGGAGATTTTGGTGGTTTCACAATGGGTTCCTCAACCTTTAAGTGTGACTTTTTTATTAAAATTTTTAAGTCTAAGCATAATTTTTTTCAAGATAACCATAACAGCAGCAGGATCGTCCTTTGCAATTTCATGCGTTTCCTTCAGCATTTTACCAAAGCTTCCATTATCAACAACATCTGCATCTTTCATGTTCAGCTTGGCATTGTTATCCATTTCAACGTCTGTTATTGGCTTGAAACCACATGCAGGGTTCACATTTTCAGAACCACTCGTAACCTTGTTCTGAGTATTGAATTGCTTGTGCAAATAATTGATTTGCTTGTGCAAATCCAAGTTGGCAAACAGATTCTCCTTTTGTTCAGAGGTGAACGAAATTGACTTCCTATCACCTTGGCCACTTTCATACAAGGCTTTCTTGGGTACGTCAGATGCTGGCTTAGACTCTTCATATGGCTTTTGTTGCTTAAAGAATGGTTCCTCTTTGGCAACCTGGAGGTTGGTGTTCTGGAAACTGCTCAGGGAAGGTTGAGAGGGACCAGCAGTAGCAAAGTAATTTTGCTTGGCATCAGGAGCAGAGGAAATTGGCCGATGCATCTCAACAGATGGATGTTTGGGCCACTTGGGCAAAGACATTTGCTATAAAGTTTAAATAATTATTATAATATAGTCGTCATATTAAAATTTTATTCCCCAGAAAAAATATATATATTTAAATTATAACATACCTGTTGATGATAAGACCTCATAGACTGAGAGTAATGGAAGCGACTCTGAGAAACCTAAAGAATAGAAGATTAAAATAATTGAATAACTTGAATAAAATAATTTTATAAAAATATAACATACTTGCATAGGTCGCTTGACAGAGTACTTGGCAGAAGCTGGTTTTCTCTTGGCCTGTTGGCGCTGGATCAATTCCTGAATGTGCCCCATGTTGCTATGTGAGGCATCGTAGCCTAAGAGAATGTCTCCGTCTGGAGTTGTTCCTGCCTTATGGACACCAGGAATGGTTTTCAGGAAAGAGACTAGGGTAGGATAGCCAAGCCTGGCATAAGGGATTGACGATCCAACTTGGTCCCTGAACAGCCCTGCAAATAGAGAAATCCTTTTGATTCCGTCCAAGATACAAAGAAACCATCGATTACAAAAATTATAATCAATACTCCTCATTTCCTCATTAAGGTAAAATTGTTTAAACTTCATTATATTTTTTTCTCGGGGTTATTATTACGGGTGTTATTATATTACTTGTCAGTTCCCTGGTGGTGACGCATTTTTTGTCCAAAATCAAGCAAGACTGGATCATCTTCACAACTTTTTCCTCGTCCATTGTGCTGTTCTGGTGTGTTGTCTAAAAATCTGATGAAATTGTTTCATTAATTAAATAAATTAAATATTAATATGATAACATGCAATGACTACGCTACCGGAACATCTTTAGTATTTTTAAAGATTTTATACTAAACACCTTGTTATTATCATTTTCATTTATTACTACAATGCGACGTATGTAATATGTAATTAGTAAAATAAACAATAGTATGGTTGAATAATTAACTTTGACTTTATAAAGAGGCACACAAAAAACGGCAAAAAAAATTTAGGGATAAATCAACTAAAAAAATCTGAATGTAGGAATTAATTCTCATTTAAGAAGAAATTCATGAATAATATACATAATTAAATCCGCAATTAAATCATTTATGAATAAATAATACATAAATTTGCACCGCTCTCAGGATAAAAGCATACAGGTATGTAATTGTTCGAGTGAAAGCAAAACTGCGGTGAGAATTTTGCCAAGGGATGTGGATTAAGTCCTAATGACTGCGTCTGCTGTATTCTACGGTATTCTATCTCAATTAATCGTCAATTTCTAATCAATCACTCAGTTAAAATTGCTTTATAATTGTATGCAAGTTTACTATTTTTTGACAAAACGAACCAAATGTTGGGTGACGCTGTACCGACCGACACTGACAAGTTTGTGCAGCAAATTGAGCAAATGAAGTGGAGCTTGTGGTGTGGACTGTGGAGCCAACTGTACGAATCTGGTGCGAAAACTGCGAAATATTGTACGTGCCTGTACACTCATGACTCACGTCACTCACTCACAGTAGAGATAGTAGAACTATGGGATACAAATAAGGGCGGGGCACCACCTCCCATTTGATTACATACATATTGTACCAGTTTAACATTGTGGGTATGGGCGGGCTCCGCCTTTCTTCGTATCCCATGGTTCTACAATTCCTAACAAGAAGTATCCAAGCGGAGAAAGACGGTACTAATTGGCTGGGTTGCTCGGCGATGTCGTGCGTCGTGCTGGATCATGTCATCATGACCAGACATGTCCAGACAGCACAGAAACTACAGAAGAGCAGGGCCGCTTGGGTACGCCAACGGGCAACGGGTGTGGATTGGTCGAGATCCATGATCCATTTCTCGATTTCGCTCGAATTTCAGCACCGACGCCACTGACGCGGAATGAAAAGCTGAATCGCCCGCCAAGCGCCAAGCTAGAGCGTTCACTTGCGTCAGCGATCACCGATTGCCCGCACCCGCAGACCCCGCAGTGCCGACGCCGAACGCCGACTGCCGACTTCTCAGAGTTCAGAGACGACACACGAGTCGAGCCGTGAAGTCGTGCGGTTGGTGCGGATGTCGATTTGTCCGATTGCTGCCGACGCGGTCGTTTCCTCGCTGTCCCGCGGGACGCGCGTCCTCTGAGTCTGAAGTCTCAACTTGAGGTTAGAGAGAGAAATGGTCCAACCTCGTCTGCCTGCCATGATGAACATCGAAGCTGAAAAGGTAAAAATCACGTTTATGTATATTTTATTCATACATTGTCATTTTTTTTCTCTTCGATCCTATCCTGCAAACATGATTATGACTGAAAAATAAGCAAATTATCTACTGCATTATTGTTTTAAATTTATATTTTTAAATCTTATGCTTAAATTGTGTGCACGAGGATTTGACAAAGGAAAACGAGCAATTATTAATGCACACTTATACAATTTTAAGCGGAAAAATCAACCGGCGGATGGAAATTAATATTTATTGTTAATAATTAAATGTGCGCGGAACATTCCAGTGGAATTATATCCACGTTGTTACATCAGAAATGATAATCCCTCTGCCATTTTATTCCATTGGGAGAGAAATTTTGGCTCAGATGTACTTCTTGCTTCTTCTTTGCTCCCATCACAAGGTCAATCATTACTTTTACTTCCTCTTGGATGTGAAAAAAGTCCTTTTCGAGGCAGTACGCTTACGCTAACAGCCGCACACGAGAATGAATACGTTTGGACTTTGCGCGTCAGGCATCCAATGCGCCTCAATTCTCTTTTCTCCACTTTTCGTTCGCATTCCTAATCCATCCCCTATTTATGAAAGAAAACCACATTAACAGAGTTTGGAGTTTAGAACCAAACCCATTCTAGTTATATGTATATCAAATAATATTAATTTCTAAAGATTATAAAGAGCAATTTAAAGATGAATATTTTATTGATTTCATAAAATTAATGTAGGAGAAAGATATAATTTGCTTCATGTAGAAAAAATATAAAATAAATTAAAACCGTGACACCGGATGCGTCAAGAAGGTGGGAGTTCAGGGCCGTTTATTGTTTTAGTTAAAATTGAGGAAGCATTTTGTCATCAGAATACTAAATAAAGTTAATTTAAAACTTAAAATAAATAAAATTTAATTAAAACCATGGCCGGGGCTACGCCGTATAGGTGTGTGTCCAGGGCGGTTCTTTTTTTGATTGAAAACGAGAAATAAAATTTAATTAAAACCGTGGCCGGGGCTACGCCGTATAGGTGTGTGTCCAGGGCGGTTCTTTTTTTGATTGAAAACGAGAAATTAAATTTAATTAAAACCGTGGCCGGGGCTACGCCGTATAGGTGTGTGTCCAGGACGGTTCTTTTTTTGATTGAAAACGAGAAATTAAATATAATTAAAACCGTGGCCGGGGCTACGCCGTATAGGTGTGTGTCCAGGGCGGTTCTTTTTTTGATTGAAAACGAGAAATTAAATTTAATTAAAACCGTGGCCGGGGCTACGCCGTATAGGTGTGTGTCCAGGACGGTTCTTTTTTTGATTGAAAACGAGAAATTAAATATAATTAAAACCGTGGCCGGGGCTACGCCGTATAGGTGTGTGTCCAGGGCGGTTCTTTTTTTGATTGAAAACGAGAAATTAAATTTAATTAAAACCGTGGCCGGGGCTACGCCGTATAGGTGTGTGTCCAGGGCGGTTCTTTTTTTGATTGAAAACGAGAAATTAAATATAATTAAAACCGTGGCCGGGGCTACGCCGTATAGGTGTGTGTCCAGGGCGGTTCTTTTTTTGATTGAAAACGAGAAATTAAATTTAATTAAAACCGTGGCCGGGGCTACGCCGTATAGGTGTGTGTCCAGGGCGGTTCTTTTTTGATTGAAAACGAGAAATAAAATTTAATTAAAACCGTGGCCGGGGCTACGCCGTATAGGTGTGTGTCCAGGGCGGTTCTTTTTTTGAGTTGAAAACGACAAATTAAATTTAATAAAAACCGTGGCCGGGGCTACGCCGTATAGGTGTGTGTCCAGGGCGGTTCTTTTTTTGAGTTGAAAACGACAAATTAAATTTAATTAAAACCGTGGCCGGGGCTACGCCGTATAGGTGTGTGTCCAGGGCGGTTCTTTTTTTGATTGAAAACGAGAAATAAAATATAATTAAAACCGTGGCCGGGGCTACGCCGTATAGGTGTGTGTCCAGGGCGGTTCTTTTTTTGATTGAAAACGAGAAATTAAATATAATTAAAACCGTGGCCGGGGCTACGCCGTATAGGTGTGTGTCCAGGGCGGTTCTTTTTTTGAGTTGCACACGAGAAATAAAATTTAATTAAAACCGTGGCCGGGGCTACGCCGTATAGGTGTGTGTCCAGGGCGGTTCTTTTTTTGAGTTGCACACGAGAAATAAAATTTAATTAAAACCGTGGCCGGGGCTACGCCGTATAGGTGTGTGTCCAGGGCGGTTCTTTTTTTGAGTTGAAAACGAGAAATTAAATTTAATTAAAACCGTGGCCGGGGCTACGCCGTATAGGTGTGTGTCCAGGGCGGTTCTTTTTTTGATTGAAAACGAGAAATAAAATTTAATTAAAACCGTGGCCGGGGCTACGCCGTATAGGTGTGTGTCCAGGGCGGTTCTTTTTTTGAGTTGAAAACGAGAAATTAAATTTAATTAAAACCGTGGCCGGGGCTACGCCGTATAGGTGTGTGTCCAGGGCGGTTCTTTTTTTGATTGAAAACGAGAAATAAAATTTAATTAAAACCGTGGCCGGGGCTACGCCGTATAGGTGTGTGTCCAGGGCGGTTCTTTTTTTGAGTTGCACACGAGAAATAAAAATTAATTAAAACCGTGGCCGGGGCTACGCCGTATAGGTGTGTGTCCAGGGCGGTTCTTTTTTTGATTGAAAACGAGAAATAAAATTTAATTAAAACCGTGGCCGGGGCTACGCCGTATAGGTGTGTGTCCAGGGCGGTTCTTTTTTTGATTGAAAACGAGAAATAAAATTTAATTAAAACCGTGGCCGGGGCTACGCCGTATAGGTGTGTGTCCAGGGCGGTTCTTTTTTTGATTGAAAACGAGAAATAAAATTTAATTAAAACCGTGGCCGGGGCTACGCCGTATAGGTGTGTGTCCAGGGCGGTTCTTTTTTTGAGTTGCAAACGAGAAATAAAATTTAATTAAAACCGTGGCCGGGGCTACGCCGTATAGGTGTGTGTCCAGGGCGGTTCTTTTTTTGAGTTGCACACGAAAAATAAAAATTAATTAAAACCGTGGCCGGGGCTACGCCGTATAGGTGTGTGTCCAGGGCGGTTCTTTTTTTGAGTTGCACACGAGAAATAAAATTTAATTAAAACCGTGGCCGGGGCTACGCCGTATAGGTGTGTGTCCAGGGCGGTTCTTTTTTTGAGTTGCAAACGAGAAATAAAATTAAATTAAAACCGTGGCCGGGGCTACGCCGAATAGGTGTGTGTCCAGGGCATTTCATTTACTTTTGTCAAAAGTCTTTTGAGTTGAAATTGAGAAAGATTGTCATTCTCGGAATTCTAAATTAGCTAAATTGTAGAAAATTTGTATATTAATTAAATCCTTGACTGGGGCTGCGCTGAGAAGGCGCCGTTTCAGTGCGGTTTCTTCCCAGTTTCTTCCATTATTGATGTAAAACATCTGAGAATTTTTTCTATGCTATTAAGGGGATATTTCTATCAAAATCTATTTTTCTATATCAAATTTTGTTCATGATAATTTACTTGCCCGACAATTAAACTGTTTTCTTATAGCAGTTTTATTGTTCTCCTTTTGTATTGCTTTTTGAAACTTCAAACGATACGTCACCCTGAAAACTTAATTCATTATAATCCCAGTCTGCCATTTTTTGAGATTCATATTTTTGGTGTTAAATTTTTTATTTTTTTCTATTTGCAGAAACTAGTCGTTGTTCTTAGTCGTCTTCCTAGCTCTGTCCTTTGTGGTTTGAAAACTCCTACGGTCTCTCCTCTGGAAGCTTCTTCTGTCTCTCCATCAACAGACATTTCATCAACATCACCTCCTTTATTGACTGAGCAAAGTGCCTCCGAGCTGCCTCCAATAAGTGGTGAGAATAGTTGTAACATAATTTAATCATGATATTATAATACATTTTTCTGCCTGTCTTTTTTTTTAATTTTGATTCATACATATTTTTTTTATAACACTTATCATATCTTGCATAATGATTTTAATAGGTGAAAATGGCTTCAATGGTTTTTTGTTTTCAGGATCGAATTTTTCCTCAGATGATGATTTGGACGAAGAGGAGCTGGAATCTTTTGTGGCGGAAAACAGGAGCAAAGAACCTCTCATAAGTTATCCACAAGACACAGGTTTGTAATTGTAACTGACTTTTATTATGGAATTACAATATTTATAATGATTTGTGTTACTAAAGAGACCTAAACTTTAATTTTCAAATTTTTATAAATAATTTTCCTTCTTAAACAAGTTACGCTACATATTATTCAACTTTCGTCCGCAGCCACCTCCTTGGCTAACTCAATGATCCAAAAGAAACGTAAGAAGGGTAGGAACCATCAAGGACGAAGACTTCGTCACAAAACGCTGAAGGCTTCTGGGTTGTTGAATAGCACATTTGCAAGGGACACTTTACCACTGCAATTTTCAACCCCCACTCAAGGTGCAAGCAGACGTCAAGGTGGATTTGTCCCTCCTCGCATTTTGCATTTTCGCACGGCCACACCAGGCAGGGGGGTTGTTCTTCACAATTGTGATGTTAAGGTGGACAACTTTAACATGCATTATTAGGTTCAAATTTTTCGGTTTTTTGATTATTTTTATTGACAGTTTGGAACCGACTTCTGCTTAACCATATTTTATTTCACTATGTTAATATTTCATTTTTTAATGCTGCAATCTTTGACCAGTCCGGCATTTTAGTTCATTTTGTGTGTTATTAATTCCCAAGTCAAACAAGTTTAAGAAATTATTTTAATTTGAAAATGTGGAACATCTTTAATGATTGGAATGTTAATATAGAAAGGAGAACTTATATGATTGATGATGTGTGATATATCAATAAAAATGCACAAATTGAATGTAACTGCATGATTTTTTTTTGTGAAGAAGTATTTGACTTGCCAGAAATGATTTCTACCTAAGAATTAATCTGCTGTGTTAATACACTTGTTGATGACCAATATATTTTGAGCATTCCGTTGAAACGGTAATCACAAGATTAGTTCCAAATTTCCTTTAACTTAATTTGACTGTATTTTTTTACTTATTTAATATTCTTTAGGTCAGGTAGTAAATTTTACGCGGTATTATTTCAAAATTTTTCAACTTCCTTTCCTTATAAAGAGTAATAAGGTTGGTAATAAGATAGTAAAATTGAAACGGCAGAAAGACAATAAGATAGCGAAAAAATTAACAATTTTTATTACAATCCAAGCGCGGTCAGAGATTATTATCCTCTGAAATTATTTGTAAATATAAAGCCAAAAGTGTAAATAGATTTTACATGTGATCCGTCCAGGACTGCTGAATCGCGCTTTATTGTTCTATAAAATTGGAATATTAAATAATACAAATTCAAAATTTTATTTTTCATATTCGTAAAAGACAAGAAACAATTATAAATTATAAGAAACTTTTAGATTTCTTATGGAAAATTTGTTGGCTTTTAAGCTTTTTTTGTAAGGCTTTTTAAGCGTTCCACTGATCTTATGAATTTAACGTACTTCCCATCTTCATTAAGTAAACTCATTCATTTTTATCAAATTGAGCAATCATTGTGATGCACTCCAGAGTGCAACTTAGGCAACCTGCTTTACACGAAAAAGTAAAGTGGACTGCGCGAGCTTTATAGGAGAGGCAAAGAAAACCAGAAGAAAACAGTGACGAAAAAAATTCTTGGCTGGTCTGAAGTGCCACCTATGGTCGTGCGCGTGAAACGGCGGCTTGCGCGATTCATGCGTCACTTCTTGGCGATTTTTGCCGAAATGGAAAACGGAAACGTGGTGCGCTTGCGCAATGACTCTTCTTGCCTGAGTTCCCATTTTGGCCACATGTGAGTATGCTTTTCCACCTATTTGCCCGGTTTTCGCCCTTTTGCCGCACGCATTGCCGCACTCGGGGCCCGCCGGACGGTTTTCGGACGCCGGAACGCACTTCCGCAGCCGCCGTTACGCGTCCACGGCGGATTTTTGCAGTGGAAAAGCGAATAAACCGGTCGTCGTGTTGACGACTCCACACGAGGGCACATTTCCCGCCATGTTGACTTTCTTTTTCGCTCGACGGCCGCTTTTCCCGTCGCCGGAGTGTCCGAAACGTCGTCCCGGAGTTGATGCAGACATTTTCCTTCCGTCCCGGATCCTTCCGGCTGACGGGACGCCCGGAGGAGCGTCGGACTGGGGCGGGCAGCGACGCCCATACGCTTGTGTATACGGCGCCGTGCCCTGCTTGAGTCCGTGTTTTCCTCGATGACTTGTCAGTCGGCGGCTGCCGGAGCACCTGCTACGCGCTAATTGAAGCGCTTTGTTTCTGCGTGCAGGCACCGACGCGTTTTGTTGACAAACGCGAGGGAAGACTTAGAAAAAGTGTCAAATTATCCAGTCAGGGATACACTTTGCGCCACATGTGGATCCACAACATTGTTTTTATGCAAATTTTTCTAATGAATTTATTTCTGATTTCAGACTGGTTAAAACACCTTAATCTACAATGGCAGACACAGCCCCACTGGATGATACTCAGTTCGAAACCGGAGATTCCGGTGCCTCCCAGACCTACCCCATGCAATGCTCTGCCCTCCGCAAAAACGGTTTTGTTATGCTCAAGGTAAATCATATCAATTCAAAATTCTTGCAAATGGTTAAAATTTTTCCTATCCGCAGAGTCGCCCGTGCAAAATTGTTGAAATGTCCACATCGAAGACCGGCAAGCACGGACATGCTAAGGTTCACATGATCGGCATCGACATTTTCTCTAGCAAGAAGTATGAAGATATCTGCCCCTCTACCCACAACATGGATGTGCCTTTCGTCAAGAGAGAGGACTACCAGGTTTGGATTTTCTCCTCATTTTTTTAATTCAATCATATTTTAAACCGATTTTATTTATTCGTTTCCAGCTGACAGATATTTCCGATGATGGATATCTAACTCTGATGGCTGACAACGGAGACTTGCGTGAGGACCTGAAGGTTCCTGACGGAGACCTTGGCGAAACCCTTCGCTCCGACTTTGACTCTGGCAAGGATTTGCTCGTGAGTTGAACAAGTGTTGCCACCTGAACACACATAATCTTATCTCGAGATAAAGTATTAAACGTGTGTCTGTCATTTCAGTGCACTGTTCTCAAGGCTTGCGGTGAGGAGTGCGTGATTGCTCTCAAGACCAACACTGCCCTGGAGAAATAAGCGTCCTCCAGCAAAGACAGGGGAGAGAGCCAAAAAGGAAGTTTGTCGGCCGATTGCATACGACTGCCGGTCACACTTTTATAACAATCTAAAAATTACCACCTATCGTTGAAATAAAGAGACAGCAAACACTGACGTGGCCCTGAAAGAAGAAGTGCTTTTGGCTCTCCTCATCACAATCTAACTCGGAAAAAATCGTATTTTGCTCCCCTTTCTATGGCTTAACTACTGATCAGAGGCGGCTACGAGCCTCTTGTTTAACGGCTTCTCCTATCTCTCGGCCTTGAGTTAAATAATTATTATTCGTATCGATTCATTTGCAGCACAATGATTAAATAAGTTCTTTTCCATCCAGCCCTTTTCACTTTAAAACACACATTCATTCATTCACTCCTCCTGATCTTCTTTTATGCACCACTTGCTCCTGCCAGGCGGTTATTTTTTTAAAAGATTAATCAAAATGATGCATAAATGGATTTAAAATTATGGTGACGAGGTGTTAAGCTGTTGTAGTTGTTACCCCAGCTGGTCTGACTCTTTCCCCCCACCTTAGTCAATCGGAACGAAAAACGACTTAACTCGGAGCAAGATGGCCAAATCGCAGCAATTACCTATTTGTTTCACAACCACCTGTTATTATTTTTCTATTTTTTTGTGTTAAGGGTTTTCTCTACACAATTTTTTTCTTTAAAAAAATCCTGCATTTACAAAAACGCCCCTGATGGTAATTAAGGAAGAATAAAATGCAATCGGCTTGGTTTGATTTGTCTTTTTGCAAAAGAGCAATATTGTACTACAGATGGGTTCATGACATTGATTTTATTGCCATATGATGATGAACCATGTTTTCAACATAAGCAGCAAAGAAGTGGGATAATAACAGTTATAATAAAATCAGTAATCATTCCCAAATAATGTTTCATTATTACACTATCAAACACCGTAGCTAATAGTGATTCCGATTAAAAAAATTATTACTTCCATGTGCTGCTGCGATGAGAAAATTCTTGTAAAATCGCTTTCAAAATGTCAAATTTTCTAATGAAATCTGTAACAGTGGTTGTGAAAATTTTGATCTCATTGACAGCCATGCAGACGTAGAATGAATTGATGCGAAATTCAATTGAATTGTTTAGTAATTTATGATATTTGGCACAAGATGTCTCTTGGAGTCTGATTGCAGACGTGAAAAAAGTTGATTCTATGTTGAATTTTTTATAACCGATGCTTTTTGATCTTCAATCAGGAATAATAAAGCGTCGAGCGGTAAAAAAAATGCAATTAATAATGGATATCATTGGATCAGAGAGAGGTGTATGAAGCTATTTTGAGCATAAGCATAAAAATATTCGTCAGCCATAAATAATCAAAGAATTTCGAAAAACTGAAATTCTTATACCAAAATTGTATATGTTTTAAATATTTTCATTTTGGAATCGCCGCCAAATATGCAATCGAGATGACTAACACGTACAAACTTTAATTCAGCGATTTAATAAAAACACATTTTCGGTTAACGAAATCAGTCACTAGGTCTTTTATATTCACTCCCTTTTTGTGAGGCTATTTTTTACAAACTAGCGGAAGGGCCTTGAATATAGCATTACTGCATTATTTCCCATTACAATTTTAAACTAATTTTGCGATGATTGCGTAAAACCTTGGAGAGTTGCAGCACCTGACGGAGTCGCGAATTTCTCCGGTCAATATTTATTATTGCATTCAACGCACCTCTTTTTGCTGAATGCATTTCAATTCATGCAAGCTAGCGTCATATTTAATCGTGTAACGCGCGCGGTGCATTGACTTTCACTTTCATTTGCTGCGGACAACCAACAGGTGCCTAGCTACACTATTCAATTTATTTGTATGCAGCTCTCGAAGTGGCAAAGTAATGCGACAGCCAAGTCGCAGCTAAAATGATTGATATCCAGAGAACGTCTATTGACTCAGCCCGAGATTGCACAATTATTTTTTTTACAATGCAATTTTTAAAATTGAAGAAAATATTTAAACAGAAAACTGATCAATCGTGTTCAATTTTATAATTCCTTTATCCGTATTTTGGAAATTTCAATAAATCAAATGATAATTTTAAATTTTTTTAAGATATTTTTGATTTTAAAAGACAAATAGTTTACGAAATAAGAAAAACATTAATAAGGAAAATAAATTTGAATATATTATTACCTGTCTTATATCTTGTTTTGAAATAAAAAAAAGAAGGAATTAAATCTCTATATTATTCAAGAAAGGTGCGTTCTCATCGCATATTGGCAACAAACAGGTGGCGCAGGTCGGAGAAATTCCACTGGAGCGCGGAAAAGATATCGCAGCAAATTTTTGCTTATGGTGCGCGCAGCTTCCTCTTGTGTACCATGGATTGTCTGACGATGAGACTGAAAGTGAAATCATAGCCGTGGGCACAGGGTATAAAAATCACCGCAGACTCTACCATCTCCAACTGTAACGTTTGTGACAATTTTTTATTTATAATCGCAATGATGTATACTTTTTTTGCTAATGACCGCAGGAGTGTCTCTTAATAATCGGCCTCATTTTAAATGAATGGGCTCGGAATCCGAAATGTCTGCAAGCAATATATCATGTGTCATTAAGCAGTGCATTGCAATTCACAATTGAATTGCACCAGCTTGAACTTGGCCTTAATCATTTTGACAAATTGGACTCCCGCAGCGCGCGGCACTTTTAATAGTGCGACACCCCACCATGTGGGCTTTGATTAAAAGTAACCGGGTGAATTAATTTTCAAATTTCACGCTTTTACTTTAGATTTTTATTTCCTAAACAATAACTATACGACTCAACTTTGATAGATCTATCAAAGAAAATGAAAGAAAAAGAAAATCAACTCAATTAGCCTTTTTTAAATTTTTCGCTTTTTTAAATTTTACTCGATCAGGCTTTTTTATTTAGCTTAATTTGTTTTTTTCTTATTTATCTTACATGGGCTTATTCTTTTTCAACTTAATTTAGCTTTAGCAGATTTATTTCATATTGACTTTTTCTGATTTATCTTAAATTATCTATTTCTGATTTACCATTAGTTTGCTTTTTTCAAATTTATCTCAATTTGGCTTTTTTTTCTTTATCTTAAATCAGCTTATTTATTTCAAATTAATTTGGCTATTTCAGATTTATTACAAATTTGCTTTTTCTAATTTAAGGTATTTTTACTTTTTTCTATACCTTGGAAATAAAAATTATATATTTTAACTTTTTATTCGTCAAATTCAAAATCCTAGTTTTTATTCCCTAGCCTCTTAAAACGCTGGCTGACCACTACATTTTATCACTCAGATAAAAAATGTAATAAATCGGATAAATAAATTTAAATTTTTAAGGGTTGATTTATCGTGCGGTATAATTTAACTGACTTTTCCTCGGTGGGTTTTTGAGTCACGCATTTCCTAAGAAAAAGCATGTTTTGTATTTGGGCTAGGTTAATGAATTAAGTGGATAATGAAGTATATTAATTGGCTTACACCAAGGCAATCTGTGCGGACATCAAGATGTGTCCCTCATTTATGGATATTACAAAATTTGGAAGAAGAAAAACACACAAACAAAATAAATAATGTAAATCAGTGTAAATTTTAACCCTTTTTTCAATGAGAGAACAATATTTTTTTCTATATGACAATATAATACCCGATAATACCCATCAAAGAAGATCAAATAAATTCACTCACAATCTTTTAAGAGCCATTTAAGACAATTAAATAATAAAATTAATATTAATTTACTTAATTACAATATTTTTGTGCTAAAAATTATAATCGAGACGGATCTCGGCAAAACTATTTGCCTGCTTATTTGGTGTTTTAATTTTTATTTCCCGCTACAGTTCCCCTTGTTAGAATTAAAAGTCTGTGACATAACAGGGTGATACGGTATATCAAGATTTACGGTTTCCGAACAAATTGCTGCGATCTTGGCTTTTGTCAAACGCAACCTTGACATAGTTAAATTGGCACAGAGCGCGGATGATGAGCCCACGCATCGAGACAAAATCGTAATACGCGGCGGCGCGCAGTAAAACGCACCACGCGCGACTCTTTCTTCTCCAGCGGGATTTTTCCCTGACGAAATCCATAAATCAGACAACTCCAAAATAAAGCAGCGTGTCCTCGGCGACCCAAATTACCCTTTTCACTCTTTTATATTTTCCACGCAACACGGCCCATTAAAATAAACATCGTGTTATGCACACCTGAGTAAAAAAGGGATGAAGGGAAGATCCTGGTTGGGAATTATTTGAAAGCGGCCGGGGTTCAACGCGTGCCTCTTTTTTATTAGATCCGGGTAGCAATTGGAAAGGGGAGAGATTTTCACGTTTTTTTGTTGCTCCCGGAACCTGAAAAGGTATACACAAAATAATGCCTTGCATATTTTGGTAGAAGGTTGGGGGCGACCAGGATAATGACGAGACTCGTGGCTTAAGCTGCACTTTCTATGCGTAAATGCATTAATCACAACTGCCATTATCGGTGCATCAGGAGTTATTTTAGACCATTAAAGAACACGGAATTAGGTTCTGACGTTAATACCAGGTTTCACGGAGGAATTTTTAACTTAAAATTATCTTTATTATTTGCTATAGAATTATAATAAAATTATTTTAAGTTTGTGTAAATTTAAGAACACTTGGTGATCACTCTTGTTGTATGTTCAAAATAATTATGATGTTAATTATTTCTTTTTCATAATTTAAATATTGAAAAAATTAAAAAAATCTGATAATAACGTGGAGATATAATAGTAATGTATACCAAAAAATTAATATGTTATAAAAAATTAATTAATTTAATAATCAATTGCTTTTGTATAAAAAGATAAATAATAAAATGAAAAATATTTTGCAAGAAAAAGCCTTAGAAGAAATGCAACTTGAATATCATAATTATGTAATTCTCTTAAATTTGAACTTTCGCCTAAAAAGGTTTTCTTCCTAAAATGGGAGTAAAATAATTATGCGCAAGTTTATTTATTATAGTTATTATTTTATTATTTTATCATCGCATAATAAGACAAAATTATTTGTATGCGAAGTTCAAATTTTTGCAAAACTTGTCATTGACAGAAAAATATTTATTGGGAAGAACCGAACGTTGAATCGTTGAAAATAAAAGTCTGCCTGCAACTACCAAAGGCTTTGCCAACAAAAACTACTTGACTCCTTTTCTGGCTTTTCTGATATAATGCGGATGGATGAATTTTAGATTTTGTTGAAGAGTTTTCAAAACTTTATTTGTCCACTCAGCTCTTTTGCTGTGTGCACCGGGACACGTTTTTCCTCTTAAATCACTTTTTACGAGAGAGAAACGTCACTGACTCACTCAGAAAAGCTGCTAAGCCAGTTATTCCGAAAGCAATGTAATCTCATGATAGCTGGCCTGTTGCTGACCGCGGTGCTGCGAATCGTTTTTTTTAACCCGCGAATTTAAATTTTGAAACTTAACCTTCGGCATTACTATTCTTCCTTTTGAACTCTTGCGTACGTGCAGTAACTGGAGTAGCGGTTTTATGATAATTACACTAACTCAGTAATACTGCACTAGAATTTATTTTAATTAATACTTGTATTGATTTAGAGTATCATTTAATTGCTCTCGGAATTTTTATCATATAAATATATCTCAAATTTAATATTTCCATAAGATTAATTAGGCATTTACTTGACTTACAGTCAACAATATTACTCTCGTTTGTATAAATTATTATTCTAATTTTTAAATCTTTTAAGGGGAAAGTCTACTTGCTAATATAAAAACATAAAATAAGAGTGATGTGACTTAAAAGATCCAATGCCATGTTTCCCGTTGGAGTATAGTTTGTCTTCAACTTTGATTCTTATAAAATAAATAATAATTAATATAATTATTAATTATATACAAGAACTGAACTGATAAAACTTAAGAGCATTCCTCATAGTGAGCGTGTCACACTAATGAACAGATGCATCCAGAGAGAATTGGAACAAACAAGAAAGAACCAGGGATTCCCTGGTAAAGGGATTATTTTGTTCAGGGTGTGGGTCGAAAACATGCAATGTGACCCTCATTAGCGGCAGACAAAGCCGCGCCGCTAAGCTTTACTAGATCAGAGAAAAGGCGCACCTTGGTCGACCCTTCGCTGGAAACTCCCAACGATAAAAAGACAGTACCATTCATTTTTGGGCGATTTTCATTGAAAATGCCGACCGCCGACATCAGTCTCGACAGGAAAAATTCCACGAATGCCGGTGATAAGAGCCGTCTGGAGATATTTGCGTAATTTTCGGCTGTACAAAGGAATTTTTCTGAACAAAACCAACCTTAGAAAAATTGTGTAATGAATCAGATTTTTTATAATTTTTTAAATCAATTAGTTTACTATGAAAAAACAATTTTATTTACAATTTAAAAAAAAAGAAAAGTAAGCAAATAAAAGGGTTTTAGTAAATTTATTAACTATGATTTTAAATCATCATAGAGCTTGTATTGAAATATATTATAAAATAATTGAATAAATAATTTTTCAAAATAAATAAAACAAATAATTTGAATTTATCGTTTTACAAAAGAAGATAAAAATTATATAATAAATAACAGCTGATAATAATTACAATACAAAACCCAAATTAAATCTGAGTCTGACCAAAAGAAATCGGAAGATGTCATAGATATAATTATGCAGAATAAATAAATATATTTCTATCTTTAAATGGACAATGTTGTGCTGCAAATGAGTGGCTGTCGAGTGGATTTTGCTCTATAATGGGAAATCAAATTCAGGTCAAGGGACGCCGCGCTCTCAATGAACGCGAGCCTGCAGGGCGGCCGCAGCGCGCAGACCGACCAAGGCGATTTATATGCGCTGTTTGTTTTTGACACGGGTAGAGGTGCAAGAGATTGAACTTGGAGTCAGCACACGTGCTGCCATTCATTATCTGATTGCAAAATCTCCCATTGCAGAAATTTTTTAAGATATTTTTGCAAACAAAAACTAGAATTTAAAATGAGTTGCTTCCTCTTATAAGGGTCAAAGTTGATTGATTCTGCGAATAAATTTTGTTTTGATTTGCGGCCTTTCGCTAAAGTAGAACCAAGGTTTGTTTGTCAATTCTTCAAATTGTTATTTTAATTGTTGGGACTAAACTGGTTGAAACGTTTTATTTTTCGATGCATTTAATTCCCTTTATAGTATTCATTATGACAATTGTGTATTTTTTAATATCCCATTCATTCTGAACTAATATGTGTGTGAAAAAAGTTATTTTTACTTTTTCCTTCAAAATTGCTTATTTTGAGATCTATGTGGTCTGTTTTAAGGCTTTGTTTCAATGTTCAGGGCTATTTAATACTTTTTAAACATTTATTTTTATTTTAATACAGTTGTTAACTGTTTGACAATGGTGTTTACCTTAATTTGAAAATTTCAAGCATTTATTACTGTTTTTTTTTAAGACTTAAGAATTTCAGTGATTTGCCTACTTTAAATAATTATTATTGCTTTTTGATACATTTGAAGAGGGAAAATTGATATACAAACATCCTTAATTTTATATGTAGAATGGAAAAATGACTTTAAAAAAATACTCTTTTGATAATTTTTTGCTTCAAACCTGCACCTTTTTAACTTCTAAAAAGCCTTTTTTTGGGGAAAATAGTCTTTCCACGGACCAAATCGAAGCACATTATTATATAACATAATTACAAAGGAAAAATACTTTTATTCTTTAATACATATTTCTTGTGTGGTTTAAAGTAAAAAGTCGGAACTAGATCTGGAAAAGTAAGGCAACTCAACTTTCCCAATGACACTAAAATAATTATTGTGATTTCACTCGAAAACACTTTTGCCAGAGCACTCAGCGCGTCTTGTGCTCTCTGGCTCCGATTCAAGAATGCAACGCTTGAATTCGAATAAAATCAAACAAGTTGCACGAAAATAGGGTACTCTCTCTCTACCGATGTGGAGCAATACCGGAGCAGAGTGTCTTTCTTGTTTTTTTCAGTTTCTCTATCTTTTGGCCAGTCCGCGAGTTTTCTTCGTTCAATGTGGAACGCCCCGGCAATATATAATTGTGTGAAGCGCCGCGGACTGCATTATCGACAACGCAAACTGATGTAGGCCGACCCGGAGCCTCACACTTGCTGGGTTCTTCGAGAATGGATGCTGCGTTTGACCCGCGCGTCTGCGTCTGCCCTATGCAAACGGCCAATTTTCACTTTCTCTCGCGCGCGCGGCCGATTTTGTGTTGACGATGACGTGCATGAACGACGTCGTTAGATTTGAATGAATCCGGCTCGCAATGTTTGGTTTTGAGGAAGAAAGCCGACGTGGGTTATTGTGCTGTAAGTGAACGATTTGCCTGCGGGATTTAATGGCTGGAAATTTGCTCTTACGCATACGGATGCTATTATTGTACCCGGCGATTTTCAGTCCCAGTCAGTAATTAATTTACAAAACGGATTCTGCAGTGTTTGCTTTCAAATTATCAAGGAATAATTTACTTTTAAAATTAATTTTAGAGTATTTGAAACCAGTCGTTGAATTCATTTTATGTATAACTAAAAATATATTTTACACGTAAATATACAGAAATATATAAATAAATGAGCTCTTTATCTATTTACATTTAATATGTTTTTATTAAGTTTTAAAGGATTAAGTGAAGGAAAATTTATAAATTAAATTGTTCATATTTTTGGCTACTTAATTTATAAAACTAATTTTTAGAAAATTTTGAAATATTCTTATTATATAATAACAACAATTTTCCACTTTAGTACACTACGTATGTGATTCTCAATTTCACAATAATTAAAAAAAAAACATTTCAAAATTATGAATATTAATAATTGTTACATATTATATGCTGTAAATCAAAGTAACATGAAAATGTGTGAAATTTTCTTTTCCATTCAATTATATAAAAATCTATCATATGCAATAAAAATATTCCTCCAAAACATCAAAAAATAAATATTTAAATAAAAAGCAATCTAGAATATTTTTTGGGTTTAATTAACTAGCGGGCTAGTCCAGCGCAATTTTTGCCCTGAAACCTATGGTATCAAACTTCGCTCTCATTTCAGCAGAGCACTTCCGTGGCTATACATTTCCGGAAAAGCTCGCGCTTTCAATGCCACCTACACACAGCTGGACGCTTTAGTTGTGCCTATTTTTCGGGATTTCATATCAGAGTCAAATGCATTTTGCGGAGATATTTTAAGGTAATAATATAATTATAAAAATAATTTAATTTATAAATTTATTCTTTGCATTTAAAGAAAATAATTAAAATTGGATTTAACTGTATATAAAAAATTACGCAATTATTGATGAATTCTAAATGTTTCCCAAACGCACAAGGCTTTCAAATAACGTAAAAATGGCTTCTTATTATTATTGTTGTTCATTTGCCCAAATTGTACAGTATAATCTTGAAAAAAAAGCAATAGGAATTGTTAAAAATTCTATAATTTCGATTCTTATGAGTAGGATTTGAAAATTTCAATTAAAAAATCCATCGTTATAATATTAAAATCGGGGCCGTTTACGTATTTATTAATAAACTCTTTAATGTTCCACGGAATAAAACTAATTAAAAAATGTTGTAATTACTTAAATTACCATAAATTCGATTAAAGAGGAAAACCAATTTTATTAACCTTAATAATTTCTATTTATTTTGAGTTTGATTAACGATCCTCAAAGACTTCTAAGAACTTTCTAGACACTAATTCAGGCCCTTTTTGAACTTTTTCCAGCCGGGCCGAGCGCTCCTATTTAGACATTGAATGAAAGGCCTGCTGCTCTATTGAATATTGGAGAGGCCTGGTGCCGGCGCAGTGGTGGTTCCGCGTGTGTGTCTTTCTTTCTTTCTTGAGCGCTCCCTTCTCCAGTCTCAGTCTCAGTTTGTACTCAGTTCGCGTTGGAGGCACGTCCGCGCTCCGCTGCCGAGATCATCAACGATCAATGTCTCAGCGCTAGCCATGGATACCCTGGCAGTGATCAGTTCGTCGGCCCAGTTATTGGATTAACCAAAGGCGAAGATTTATGCAGATAATCTCCATCTGCCTTTAGCGAATAAATTCGAATTTTCTATTCTCACCGAGACCAACAAACAAACACAAATCAGCAATGGTGAGTCAAACCTTCGATCTCTGATGTTTCATCTCCGGCTTTCGCGCCTTGATCCATTTATTGCAGCCTCTCAATGACACACAGAAAGGGAAAAATATACCTTATATCAATTTATATTTCTGTCCACCTGTTGCAAACCGATCGCGTAATGATCGAGTGTGTGATAGAATGCGGTTTTCTTTTTAATTAATTAAGTTTCCTCTGCGAATATTGTTGGTTTATTCAAAGGAATGTTTTTCTTACCTGTTTGCACACTTTTAGAGAAAAAACGTCAGTGAATTTATTAACTCTTATTTATCTGCAATCTTCCTAAAAAAAAACCAAGTAAAAAAGAAAACTTATTTTATTTTTATTGTTATTAATTTTTCCAACATGTTACACAAATTTTACATAGAAAGAGAGAGAAATATTGAAATGTTGGACAAAAACACAATTATTTTGCTAAAACACTTTATTAAAAAAAAAAAAAAAAAAAAAAAAATACTTCTAAAAAGAAGCACATGTCAACTAATTTCACTTTTGCGGTCTAAGGAGCCATTCTAATTCTCTTTAATAAACCTGTTGAACACTAAAGAAATTAAAAATTTAAGTAGATTAACAAGCTTTCTCAATGCAAGTTGTAATTTCTAAAAGTTAAAATTATGCAAGAAATTTCCAAAATTTATTAAAGTTTATCGCTCGACAAAATTTGAAGTTTCATCTTACCATATCCTTGCAATTATGGAATACTTGTTTATAAATAAATACCGGCACTTAAAAATTTACAACATCCTCTGAAAATTAGCAAGTCTGTTTGTTGTTTGCCTCAATTAGTATGCAGCAGTCAAAATTTTTTATTACATCAAAAGGGAGTGAAAATTTTTCGCAGAATATCTGTCCGCAGGCTAATCAATTTGGAGCAACAATAACAATCATTTCAGGCCCAAAATTAAAACAAAAGCCGAGCGGTTCAGCCTTGAGAGTTGGTCTGGTGCGCGCCCATTGTGGGGCAGTAGTGCTGCTGCTTTGATCAGCACCGTGACCATCTCAAGATCAGGAAATGCTCTCTCATCAGGGCGCGCGAGCTCGCCCGGCGGAGAGAGAGAGAGAGAGAGAGTAACTGTAATACTCGTTTTTATCCATCTCTCGCCGCATTATTTTTCGTACAAAATTTGATCTTGGGCCCCGACGACCCGCTATTAACAGTAGCTGAAGAAGTTGCTTAATTCTGGCAAGTTGGTGTCGCTCACCTGTTGTGTGACGGTGACACAGAAATTAAGCGAGGTAATTAATAGACACTTCCTTCCACCATAGGCGATGACACGATTAGATTGTATTGCGCGCCAAGTGCCGCAATCGAACTGATCTTTTTCACATGTAGATATTTTCTTCGGAGGTGCATTTGTGATTGATGTGGAATTCTAATTTTTGACACTCCTATTATAACTCCTCTGTCAATTAAATATCATATAATTTTAATTATTTAACCAAAAGATTTGATTGAGAATTTAATTTTATAATTTTAAACGTATATTACAAAGTGCAATATATTAATTCTTTTTGGAATGTAAATACTGCTATTAAAATTGAAGTAAAAAACTAAATATTAAAAAATATTCAATTAATTTAAATAATTAGAAACAATTTTGAATTTACAAAAATGGTAATAATTCATGAAAAATATAATTTAGTTTATTTTTTAATATTATTTTAACAGTTTTATTACTTTTTTTATACTCTGAAAAAGTACAGTGACCTCAAAACAACAAATTATTCAGTACTCTCAAGCCAACCCATTCAAATCTGGAGACTTGAATGCGCGAGTCAAAAGTCAGAGGGCATCATTATTTTTAAATCTCTTTTTTCTCTCTCCGCATCCTACGAGCGCGTCTCTTGCATTATTTTTTTTTAAAGAGAACAGCGCCTACGTTTTGAACAAAATATATATATTTTATATTTGAACGGTACACATGAGTGTGCTGCGTGTGTGTTTAATTTTATATCCACGGCGCGAGTGCTGCACTGCCGGTTGTGTTGGACGCGGCATACAGGTCAGGGATATCTGGTCAGCACATAAAAATGAGAAAGATTATTGCGCTGCTCGGTGATTTTTACTCGTATTTTTCAAACATCATCATCACCGAGAGCTGCTGGCAGTTGAAATTAAAGTACCTTTCGAAGGACTGAATTAATTGTTAATTATTGCACCAATTAGTGTTGATGCAATCCAGGTCAATTTCTTTTATACTCTCCACGTGCTGCATTTATATAAATATGATTTGCCAATTTTTGTCAATTCCGAGAACGTCCAGCTGCAAAAAGTAGATCACGAAATAGTTTGAACGACGTCCAAACGGCTGCTCCTTTCGTCACACAAAACTTTCATTCATTTATTGTTGAGTGCGCCAATTTTTTACTTCCTGTCTGCAGTGCATTATTATTACTCAACCAGTGCAAATAATATTTTATAACAAACCACAAGAGAAGAATATAAAATTCACTCTCTTTTTTACTCCAATGAATCACAATCGATAATTCAGGATAAAACAAATCAGCGCTGCGAGGCAAATTATCTGCCGTTCCCATTTATTTTTTGCTCATTTGAATGTTTTTTTCATTTTGTTAATTAATGATTTTCCCACTCGCGAGCGGCGAGTGCAATTTTCAATTCATGTGTGGTGCCGTGTGCGCAGCCTTAAGTAAGAAAAGTGGGTCTCTGGGTATGGCAAAGTGCACGCAACTCGTTTTCTCGGCGGGCCGTGCGCGCCGTGCTGGAGGAAGTGTTATTGAAATAGAGAGAGAAAGATGATCTAACTGTATTCGCATTTAAAACCACCTAACGGGCCAGCACCTTTGGCATCTCCATGTGCGACATTCCGTATATTTATAATCGGCGTCAACTCCTAATCGAGAGTCGTTTCGTAACAATTTGCCCACTTGGACGAAAGAAAGGAAATTTTACTATTCTATCTAATTTTTTTTTTTTTACGAGAGATGACGGGCAGAAATGCAACTCGTTGATGTGTTTTCGCACTTTTACTTTTTCTCATTGTATCACCGCAGCTTATTATTGTTGAGTGCGCTACTGTTTGTTCTGCACGCAATCGCCTTTGTCGATTGGATAATGTAAAAATTTACGAAAAAAGATGCGGATCGCTCTTGGATTTAATTGTAGCAGCAAATTAGCGAGTTGCGTGTCACTCGCGAAATATTTCAGCAGAAAATTTCCAGACGGTCATAAATCTCTTGAAATTTTGTAGGGCTGCCTCCTAGATACAATTTTTTTTATCGAAGGTCGGCTTGGTCCTTAATTTTCTGCAGATTCAACATCAACAATTTCACCGCTTAATTGGGATAATAAAAACAACTTCAGAGGCATAATTTATCTATATAAAATAGCAAATTAGAACAGCCATTTTGTTAAATAAAATTTTAATGAATTAAAAATAAATTTTAAATACTTTATTAAAAAAATTAAATGTTTTAACAATAATTTGAAGAACCTAATCCAAATTTTGTGGTTAGAAATTTAATTTATATGCAAATTTGAAAAAAAATTGAGCAAGTTTTTAAATTTCGAGTAAAATTGTACGCAAATTAAAGGCATTATATGCTTAAAACATCTTACTTCATATTGTGTCAGTGAGGCGGCCACGAAAAGCCTTCAGGGTGAAGAGGTTATTTATTTTGGGCCGGGACCGTTATCGCGTCAGCTCGACGCACCAACCAATATTTCTCCTTTCATTCAATTACTCATGACTTTGTACCTGTTTTGTTTAAACTTTACTTGATGAAATTCATCAACATCAGAAAACATCAGAAAAAATCTTTATTAAAAAAACGAGGGAAACATTTTTCTTCGCACGTCTCTTATTTTTATATTGAGAAATTTGTTTATCGGCCCCCGCTGCTTTCCGGTAAAAATTCCAAATATATATTGACGCACCATAAAACGCCGGCAAGTACCGCATGCCTAGCTTTATAATGTAACTGGAAAAATCTATTTTTATTGCCCAGGGATGCACCTGCTGCGTTGGAAGGAGATAATTGCGCTACATGTGACGTTGGCAAGAAAGAATGAAGAATTATATCAACCTTGGAGGCGGTAAATGGAATGGAAAACAAACGTTTTTGATGCAAACGGCAGAACCACACGCGTTCAAATTGTGTTGTTAAGCAATTTTTTCTTCGTAATAATTTTAATTTGAAATTGCAAAAAGTACGCACACTTCCGTCGACCAATTTGTCTGCAGACTAAATGGGGCTTTGGTTCTCTGCGCCAGGTTCATTAGTTATTATTACATTATTTTTCATTTTCTGCAGAGTTTCTGCAAAAAGGCAGTGCAATAAATGTGAAATTTATCTATGGAAGTATTTAATTTTTATTGAATACATAATGCCGGCCTCTAGGCTTTTCCATGATATTCAGGTCAAATGCCTCTCAATTATCTATAATTTTATGCATTCAAAAGTTCAAATCGGAAATCGTGAACTTCTAGAATTACGGCTGACCATAAAGTTAGTCCTTCACGCGACCTTCCAGAATAGGAACGCACCCAGGAAACGCCATAGTTTCTTTGAGAATAGCCTTTATTTAATTATCTTTGCCAAGCATCAGCGTTCTGTCTAATGCGGGATGATGCGTTTTTCGCGTTTTGATGATTCGTTTGCCGGCGAATCTCGCGCCTTATTAATTCAGATAATGGCTCTTCGTCGCAAATTACACTGAAGAGGGACGCGGAACTGATTAAAAGTATATTTCTTTTTGTCAAAATACCCAAACGTGATGTTTTTAGCTCACTTTGATTTTAACCTTGCACAAAAATAGTAATTTTAATCACACTAATTAATTTATCATTAAGCTACGAAGCTTACATATTAATTATGCAAAATCATAAACAACTTGGATTTACTCAAAAACTTAATTGAAATGAATGTATTGGCTAACTTTGGCCAATCTATAAAAGCTCCTGAAATGGGTCCAGGGACAAATTAATAAATATCTACCATTGCTATTTTTT